ACGCTCGAAAACTATGAAAAATTTACGAAAAATCACGTGCTCGCCGCTTGGGATGGCAGTCCATAGGAACCGACGGGTCATTGCCAATAAAAACCAAATTCATTGCACTGATTGTCTCAACTGGGCCTAATTCGTTTGGCTTGGCCCCCATCTACTTTTTATTTTTTTTATTAGTATCTTATATTCAAAAATTATAACAAACCTTAATTAATTTAGAGTTCAGTCAAATTAAATTTTATATAAAAAGGTTCTCTTAATACTTATTTTTTTCATTTATAAAAATTCAACTTAAGAGCTTACTTAAGAAAATTGAATTCCTTTTACTATTTGAAATGACTTTCAAATCTGCCCCATCAAATATTGACTTTTTTTCCCTTTTTTTTTTTTTTTCTTTTAAGTGTTTGTGTTTATAACAATTTAAAACTCTGACTGAAAATAAACAGTGACCTTACTCTTTATCAAAATATTAAGGTTAAACTCTTAATTTAGAGTTTTTATTATTGTATAGACTCTTAAGTTAATTTTTAAATTAAAAAAAAATTTAATTTATTCTTTAAAATTTTAAAATTTGATCCTAAATTAATCCCTCTCTAAAAAAATAATCAACATATCTATTACTTTATGATAAAAGACCTTATTTAATAATAATATGTCACGTTAGTAATGAGATATGTTAATTATTTTTTAATAGATGAATAATTTAGAGTTAAATTTAAAAATTTTAAGAATTAAATTAAAAAAATTAATTTAAAAGCTAATTCAAGAATCTATATAATAGTTAAAAGATCAAATTAAAAATTTAATCCAATATTAATCTGCCAGTATTTGCCAGAAACTTAACACTAAAATAGATCTGACAGTGGGAGAAGACAAAATGTGGGTGGAACTGGGTTTGTCTGAACGGGAATCAACGTGTTAAATAAGATCTAGCTAGAAAAAGAGCTAGGGGAATAGTGATAATCTTTGGAGTTTGGATGCTGGAATCAGAATCATCCAGCTGTTTAATGGATCTGATTTGTTTAAATTGATTGATGATGGCCGACACTGAATCAGAGCGACATGTGGGGCAGAAAGCACCATATTGCCTTGTAGGTT